GCAAGCTTGCTGTAGACTTGCCGCTAACTGCCGCAAACACCAAGGTTTTGTATAGACTGTCATGCTTTCTTTGGCTACAATGAAGCAATATCTACTGCAAGCTTGCAGCAATGTTTGCTGCAGACTTGCAGCAAATATTTGCAGGAAGGCAATATTTTCGGTAAGTGTTCCCGTTGTATAAAAAATTGAAAGTTTTTCAGAAGCCTTTCAAATGTTACTTCACTATTTGAAGATTCCATATGCAAAGCTTTAGATTCTAAATCTACTAGCTGCCAGTGCCAAAGCCTACCCTTCCCCCTTCATGGGTATTCCAAGCGGATATATATCAACTGGTATATACCAGTAATATTTACAGATATGTTAGATTTAACTTCTGGTATCCATAATCAGAGCAGATACAAATTTTGTATTTAAAATTGTGATATTAAAAAAAAACAACCTGTAAAATTCCATTATTACCAACAATGAATTTTTCACAACAATTTACCATAACATATTGTCGGCCATATTGTAAACATTAAATATGGGTCAAAAAAGTAGTTCCTGCTTTCAATATTTTTATCGAAGTGTAAAAATTTATGCGCGTAGCTTATAAATAAATCAGAAGTCTCGATTATCGAATATAAATATAATGAGATTGGAATTATAACATAATAATTCGGTACATGATATAATTCTATGGAACTTGTGTTTTTGCTGCCGAAATATTAGACCAGGCGAAAACTGAATGCTAACATAATCTCCATTTTAGAGATATGGCGCCATCCCGTGAGACGCAGAAACCGCGTACATCGAGTGACACATCATCGAAGTTGGAGCCCAAATGACTGAACTTTTCAAATATACCGATTAACAAGGCTCTAGGGAAACTAAATTATAGTGCAATACTTCATTATAATTCAAGGTATTTGCCTAATTACCTTACTTTATTTTTTTTAAGATAAAAATCTACTGAAGGTTATAATTTTCGTACAGAATTTTAGCTGTAACAGTTTAGGTCTAAATTCGAAAACTTTGATAACCCGGCCAAAAGTAAGCTGAGATGTTTGAGAAATGGGAGCAACATTACGTGTTGTTCCTAAATTTTGGAAATTGCCTGATAGCATCTGTATAATTATCAAATCAAAAACTATTAAGAATAATATTCTACATCTATTTCAGTATGTGTAAATTAGTTTAAATTAATGTTACTGTTCTTAAAACAAAAGAGTCTTTAATTAACTTTTCTAGTAAAGGCAATTACCTTGTTGTGTTTATATATTGATCTATTTATAATCAAAAATTCCACAGATTATTTTAGGACATCTATAAATAGATCACACCTGCAAATAAAACCATATATGCGCATTTCTAAATTATGATGCAATTTATTTCAACGCTAAAGGTCTTAAAAGGTAGACAAGGTAGGTTAAAATCTTCCTTATATAAATACATTAACGATAAAACGTATCATTATTTAAAATTTAAACGTGTAAAGTAAAAATAATGCATTCAAATTCCAAAAATAATACATTCCAGTTTGCATCAATCAATCATGTCATTGTCAATTAAAAGTTAACACAGACCTGCATCCATACTTACTTTGCTGGTTATATATTTGTTTATCAATGCTTGTTCTGATTAGTTTACAAACTAGATACGATCTCGTTGCGAGCAACGAGTGGGTCTTCCGTCCGATTCTTGATAAGATGAGATAAGATTTTGATTGAGATTTTCATTCTAAAATAATGATTTTTCCTAATCTCTAAAAGGACATTGAACATTAAAGACGTTTAAAAAATCGACTTTTGGCCCCTCAGGGCCCCAAACATTAGGGATCAACCCTTTTTTCTTCATATCATCTGTAAGCTATCATGATTTTGATGACTTTTTGTTCAACAACTATTCAGAGATTCTTTTTCGTTTTTGAGTTATTCGCATAAGAAATATTTAGGGGCCAAGCCTTCAACTCCTTAATGGGGACGTTTAGCGAAAAATAAAAGGATTCATATTGTTCAGAATATGATTTTGAACATCATTTGTTTAATATTACTTGTCAATATATTTCTCATTTTCGAGATATAAAGCGTCAAAGATTTAGCATTCTGGCCCCTTTTTGGCCCCTAAATACTTGTATGTAATATACGACATTAAAATCATAATATACAGTTGCAGATTGTTGAGATAAACACTTTTGCTTCAGTAATGTATAACAAAATATTGACTGTTTAAGAGTTATCGAAAAAAGACTTTTAGCCCCTTTTGGCCCCTAATTTGAGTTCACAGCCCCTTTTTCTGGATTTCATCTTGAAGCTCTTAGGATTTTGAACACTTTTTGTTCAACAACTATTCAGAGATTCTTTTTCGTTTTTGAGTTATTCGTAAAAGAGATATTTAGGGGCCAACCCTTCAACTCCCTAATGGGGACGTTTAGCGAAAAATGAAAGGTTTCATATTGTTCAAAACATGATTTTGAACATCTTTTCTTCAATATTACTTGTCAAAATATTTCTCACTTTCGAGATATAAAGCGTCAAAAATTTAGCATTTTGGCCCCTTGTGGCCCCTAATTATGTAATATACGAATCATAATATACAGTTGCAGATTGTTGAGATAAACATTTTTGCTTCAGTAATGTATAACAAAAAACTGATTGCTAAACAGTTATTGAATGAATACTTTTGGCCCCTTTTTCTCCTTAATGTGATGAGTCAGCACTTTTTTTTTGGTATCGTATTAAAGATCTTCGCATTCCCCACAAATATTGTTCAGTATGTCTTAACAAAATAATAATACTTCAAAAGATATGACACAAAATGTCTCCAAAATTCACTCATGATTCTTTTTCGTTTTCGACTTCCATATTGGACCTTTCTGAAAAATTTTGAATCAATTGTGCAATTCAGCAATGTGTCGTCTATCATCGCTGACAATTTCAAGTCTGTAGCTAATGTCGTTTTTGAGCTTACTCATGGACAAGGAGACCCTCTGAAAATCACTGAAAGGGCGATAACTTCCGACCGGAAGTGAATTTCCAAAAAATGAAAAAAGCGTATAAGGTTTAGATAAAGATACATCATCTCTGAAATTTTCACTAAATCGGTCAAGCCATCTATCTTCTGCACAAAAATTGTAAAGAAAAAGGAAGAAGAATAATAATAAAGCTCGTTGCAAAGCAAAAATTTAGCATTTTGGTTTTGACCGGAAGTGCCAGAAGTGACGTGAACAAAAGAAAGCAATGAGCTAATCATAATTTTATAATTTCAATTTTGTATTAAAGCCTTCAAAATAAGCTATTTTTGGCTGTTTGACCGGAAGTGACGTAAACACATATGTTTGCCAAGAACAGCAAAAATTGCAATATTTGACTACTTCCGGTTTGACCGGAAGTGACGTCGCCGGACGTATTTTGACGACAAGATTAAAACAACTTTGCTTCTTTGACGTATTACAAATTCGCAATACTTTTTGAGATATAAAGGAAAAACTTTCGGCCCCTTTTGGCCCTTGATCATGGGGGCCAGCCCTTTGTCCTTGATATTTTTCAAAAGATCGTGACATTCTCTACAACTTTTGTTCTATATGTCTTTTCAAATTGTTAACATATAAAAAGATATTGCACAAAAGGTCTCAAAAATTTCTAAATACTCGATAGGACTTTTTTCGAGCCATAGCGAGCGCCGACGTGCGGCACTTCCTGAAAAATTTTGAGTGGTGTGTGACAAAAGAGCACACGTTGTCTCTATCATCGCTGAAAATCTCAACTTTCTGTCCTAAGTAATTTTCGAGAAAAATGATGGACAATGAGACCCCCTGAAAATCACTAAATCGCGAAATCTCAAAACCGGAAGTGACGTCATCAAAAAAAAAAAAATATATCAGCTTTGTTTGATGTTCTATCAGTCCTGAAAGTTTCATGAAAATTTATCCAGCTGTTTTCGAGAAATCGCGTGCACAAAATCGGTAAGAAAAAAAAACAATAATAATAATAATAATAAAAATAGTGGAAAAGAAACCTAAGAATAATAATAATAAAAGTGAAAAAAAAACAATAGAATAATAGAAGGGTCTTCCGTTGGAGACGGAAGACCCTAAATATGTGCAGTGCATTTATTGAGTTTGCATTTCAAGCATTTGAATTTTAATGTCCCTGATACCTTTCATATATTTACGACATAGGGTAACATTTTTAAATACTATTGGGATACAAATACGGGTTGGTCATGAGATCAAATCTTGAAAGAGCCTGATCATAATCTTTGATCCCTGTTTGTTTTATTTTTCGAACCCAGTGGCACTTGTTTGATTCAATTGAATGCAAGTCAACCTTGCATTTTTGCACGTAACCTGTTGCAACTATGATATTATTGGTGATGAAAGAACAAGCTTAACTAAGAGGGTTTTTTCCAGCCCTTTGAATTGCTGAAAAAGGTTCTTTTTAGCATGAAATAAATTAATTTTCACTAGCATCCTTAAAGACTTCATATCTCTACATTAAATGACTCCTACTTCACCCAAGTCCATGTATTTTGATGTCTGAAGTGCATGACATTCTTCAAATTCTTACTTTTTTTCAAAAATGACCAACATTTTAAGCTGTTTTTCGATACTCTGCATAGACGTCACAACCTCTGATCCAAAATGTATAAGTACAAAATAAAAGAACTGTTTCAAAATAGTATAAATTTTGTGTATTTTTGGATAGAGAGTTGGAATCATTTTTTTTATGAACCTACCCACTCAAATTCATTCACACAAATTTTCTTCAAAATTTAGGAAATCTGCATTCAAAGTGAATAAAACATCAGTACCTTCACCATGAACAATACATGCGATGAGTTCTTTAGTTTTTGTTTTATGTTTTGTTTCTAATTTCGTTCATCAGTATGTATTGATTAAACTAAGATAAATTTATACATATTAGCTTAAGCAACATTGAAATTACTGTAGAAATTGCTCAAGATTACTATTTTTTCTTTCATGCAATTAAGAATATAAAAAAATTCTAAAGCCATTTTTAATTTTTTTTTCTACCAAGTACCTAATTTTGCAGGATAAGATGCCTTCTTTAAAGAGAAAAGTAGATGAGGTAAACAACCTTAAAAAATGATTCTTTAAAATCATTATTCTCACTGTTTGCTATTTATTATATTTAGATAATTCCGTGACAGTAATACTTTATTTTTAGGGTAGGTTGCCACCCTTCAAAAGGCATAAGAAGGAGGAGTCTTTTGCGGCAGAAAAAGAAAATTTTTGCAGAATATGTGCCATAAAAACATACATCGTAGGAATTCAACATTATGAAGGAAAAGTACTGTAGATTCTTATTATACCAGAATTTATTATCGAGAAATGACTCCTTTCGAGACGTCAAATCGCTAGAATAAAAATATTGAATTGCGTTTTTCAGATTTAGAGTTTTAATATACAGTACATTGTAGCAATATTAAAATAAAAACTAGAGATTTTATTTAACGAAATGTTTTATATTACGTTAAACTTTATATTTTTAAGGTATTTATAGTAATTTATGGATTAAATAAATGAAAAGTACATTTTTAAACCCTGATTTCTGGCATATAAAAAATAAAATGATCTTTTATTCATTTTTTTCTTTGTCAGAACTCTGTTACAACAGGAAGCAAGATCTGGCTAAGAAGAAATCCTAAAAATACCTCCGATCCTAACGCTATAGAATGTTGGCCGAGCCCTACATCATGTACTCTCCAGCAGATTGTTGGACACATCTGTAAAGAACTAGCTGTTCCACTGGCCAGGCTGTTAGATAACAATTTGGTTTCCGTAGAAGGGTATGCTATTGATTATATTTCTTTCATCATTTTGATTCTATAGAAGGAAAAACGACTTTTGTTCACAAATGTCTAAGTGCATGTTTAATAAACATCATTTTTTAAATTTTTATATAAAGCACAAATTACAGTTAGTTTTCAATAAATGAATTATATACATAGTTGACAAAAATATTGAAGACATAAGATTTCAAAATGTTTGAAAGAATCTCTTGCTTTTTAGGTCACCTGAGTAAACTCAGGTGACCTATTGGTATCTCTTTTCGTCCATCGTCGTCAGTTGTACGTCGATCGTAAACTTTTGAACATTTTCAGCTTCTTCTCTGCAACCACTGAACCAATTTCAACCAAAATTGGTACAAAGCATTTATGGGTAAAGGGAAACAAAAATTGTGAATTTCATGACCCCTGCCCCCCTGGGGCCTGAGGGGTGGTGCCAAAACCACTAAAATTAATGCAATCTTTAAAAATCTTCTTCTTTACTCATGGACATCAAGCAGTCAAACTCTTTGATGATTGTAATCAGCATTAAGTCCTCTAACAAAATTGTGAAATTCAGGGCCCCAGGGTCAGGGGTTCTAGTGCTAGGGTGGGGATAAATCGAGTGAAAATACATGAATTCTTTGAAAATCTTCTCTGCTCCAGTGGAAGAAAGTGTAGAAGTGTAAGAAGTACTGAAAGTGAATTGTTTGAAATCTGCTAGTTTGTATTAATCAAATATTTTTATAAGCAAGGGTGCCTTTTCAACAATTGTGCAATGTGTTGACCTAGGGTCAGGCGTTCATGTGTGGTAGGGGCACAACTGATTATTGCTGAATATTACTGATTAGTTGAAATGCATTTTTTGTTGCCTCTTTCAAAATTGTGAATGCCATAGCATAGTTAAAATATGAACCAAATTCAATTACTGTGAAGTTGTTGCATGATACTCAGGTGACCTATAAGGCTCATGGGCCTCTTGTTTGTGAGAAAACATTGAAGGATTAAATACTGTTTTTGAAGATTTACTGTCTACCGTAAGGACTTTACTACCGTATTCATTTACAGAATTTAGTGTAAACAGTTTTCTCTATCTCATTTCAGAGCTAAATTATTGTTAAAGATGATGATTACTTTTTAGCTCACCTGAGCCGAAGGCTCAAGTGAGCTTTTCTGATCAAAATTTGTGCGTTGCCTGTCGTCGTTGTAGTCGTTGTCGTCGTCGTCGTCGTAAACTTTTCACATTTTCGACTTCTTCTCAAGAACCGCTGGGCCAATTTCAATCAAACTTGGCACAAAGTATCCTTGGGTGAAGGGGATTCAAGTTTGTTCAAATAAAGGGCTACGCCCATTTCCAAGGGGGAATATTATGAATTAGAGAAAAATTAATGGCATTTTTAAAAAATCTTCTTCTTAAGAACCACTGAGCCAGAAAAGATGGAACTCAGGTGTAATCATCCTCAGATAGTGTAGATTCAAGTTTGTTCAAATCATGAACCCTGGGGCTAGGGTGGGGCCAAAATGGCCGACGGAAGTTTAACATAGGAATATATAGGAAAAATCTTTTAAAATTTTCTTCTCCAGAACCATTGGGCCAGGAAAGATAAAACTCATGTGGAATCATCCTCAGGTAGTGTAGATTCAAATTTGTTCAAATCATGACCCCTGGGGCTAAGGTGGGGCCAAAATGGCCGACCAAAGTTTTACATAGGAATATATAGGGAAAATCTTTAAAAATCTTCTTCTCCAGAACCACTGGGCCAGGAAAGATGAAACTCATGTGGAATCATCCTCAGGTAGTGTAGATTCAAGTTTGTTCAAATCATGACCCCTGGGGCTAAGGTGGGGCCAAAATGGCCGACCAAAGTTTTACATAGGAATATATAGGGAAAATCTTTAAAAATCTTCTTCTCCAGAACCACTGGGCCAGGAAAGATGAAACTCATGTGGAATCATCCTCAGGTAGTGTAGATTCAATTTTGTTCAAATCATGACCTCCGGGTCTAGGGTGGGGACAAAATCGCCGACCCAATTTTACATAGTGATATATAGGGAAACCTTTAACGGTTTTCTTTTCAAGTACTTCAAAGCTATGATTAGTGATATTTATATGGAATCATCCTCAGGTAGATTCAAGTTTGTTCAAATGATGAATGCCCAGGGGGAGTGGGGTTAAATTCAAGCCCGATGTGCTCAGGTGAGCGCTGTGGCCCCTGGGCCTCTTGTTTAAACTTCAAACTCTGAAAATATCAATATATCATGAACTCTGATCTGTTAGATACTTTAAAAAAAAACCTTTGTTTTCGATGATCAATGAAAAACATTTTATTTTTATGCGCCCGGATCGATAGATCCGGAGCGTATATTGTTTTTGTCCTGTCTGTTTTGTCTGTCTGTTTATCTGTTTGTCTGTCTGTCTGTTGTCAACTTTAACCTTCGCCAAAACTTTTGAACCATAAGAGATAGAGACTCCATATTTAGTATGCATACTCCACTAATAAAGTTCTTTCAAATGACATCAAGGCCAATGACCTTGTGACCTTGACTGTGACCTATATGCTAAAAATAGTTTTTCCCACTTTTTGCCATAACTTTTGAACTATAGGAGATAGGGACTTCATATTTAGTATTGCATACTTCACTAATAAAGTTCTTTCAAACAACACCAAGTTCAATGACCTTTTGACCTTGACTGTGACCTATATGCTAAAAATAGCTTTTTCCACTTTTTGCCATAACTTTTGAACCATAGGAGATAGGGACTTCATATTTAGTATGCATACTCCACTAATAAAGTTTCAAACAACACCAAAGTCAATGACCTTGTGAGCTTGACTGTGACCTATATACTAAAAATAGCTTTTTCGAACTTTGTTGACGACGGGCGCATAGTGTTTCACAAACACATCTTGTTTTCAAACTACAAATTATATATTAGCTATAAAATACAATATTCAAGAACAAACGTATTAGATATAAGATTTTTAAACTATAGTTTTTTGCTGAAAAATTCTAATTGTCGATAAATTAATTGTCTTGGTTCCACTAAAGCATATTAAACATTGGTTTTCCGAATAAATATGAACATATTAAAAAGGATCCAGATTGTTATCTAACAATAAAAACTTTATTCCAAGTCATTTCCTATGTTTGCCTATCCAGTAATATTGTTTCCAGAAGACCAGAAACATGCAATTAGAGCGAGTAAAAAAGTTAGCGTAGGAATTTAAGTAAAGTAGTTTTTGAAGATATATAATAACAGTTACATGTAGATTTACGTAATTGTTCAGAAGACTATGTGAAGGTGTTCATGACTGAATTATTTTTTGTTTTTTTTTTTTTATAAATGTTAGACCATCCTTCACACAATGAATCTCCATTTGACCTTATCAAGGGACCTGATCCGACTTCTGTTGTAATTAGATTTTACTCTGATCCTGATTTCTCTTTTATAAATGCGCTTGCCCGATGGACTTTTCTTTAATATAAATTATCTATTTATTCTCTTTTCAGGAAAATTATTTTCGACAAAGAGGCTCTTAGTGTCGCTGATTACGTGAAACCAATATTAATAAATCTGTCAGCAAATGTCACAAGAAAGAATGAAATAATAAAAGTTTTATAAGAATATCAATACTATAATGTCCATTCCCATGATACGACGGCACCCATGAAAGCGAGATTAGTACATTTTCAGCCAAAGTATATGGCATATGAAATCGTAAGTATGTTATACAGTTATCGACTTTAGTGAAGGTTAATATGTGTTTCAACTGAATAAGTGGAAAGTGCAAAAATGCAACTTTAAAATTTAAGATGCTTTTTGAAAAGCTTTAAAAAATTATAAAGCTTTCTTGCCGCAAGGTTTATGTGAGGCATTTTAAAGAGTGCATTTTATCATTTAACTTGATTAAACTTTCTAAATTACTTTCCCTTGAAAAAAATAATTTAAAAGATATCAGTGTTACTTTATTTATAGGAAATTAGAAAAAATCGTGAATTTCTTGTGCTGCTCAAATCGATAGCATAATATTACAATACTCTATAACCATACCACGTCAATACATATGATGACCTAGACGTTCATGTACTATTCTTAGTATATTGCTTAACGAGGTTGGATCCAACTATCAAAACTCTTAAACTTTTTGTGAAGCACATTTTTAGTTTCTACACGCACAGTTTGATAAAAAAAACATTGCATTTGCATTGTAAAAGCCAGAATTAATGTTGGAACTTTTAAAAATGGTGTGTGGAATTTTAGAAATAAGGGGTAAGACCAAAATCTGCTCAAACGCTCAGAATCAAACCTTCTTCAATATTTTATTAATTTCTTTTGAATTGAGAGTGATATAATAAATTGGTAAAGTTTATAGCTCACCTGAACTGAAAGCTCAAGTGAGCTTTTCTGCACACATTTTGTCCGAAACACGTCTGTCCGTCCGTCTGTCTGTAAACTTTTCACATTTTCGACTTCTTCTCAAGAACCACTGGGCCAATTTTAACCAAACTTGCCACAAAGCATCCTTGGGAAAAGGGAATTCAAGTTTGTTCAAATGAATGGACCAAGTCCTCTTCCAAGGGGAGATAATTATGAATTAATGAAAAATTGATGATATCATTTTAAAATCAGAACCATTGGGTCAGGAAAGATAAAACTCATGTGGAAGCATCCTCAGGTAGTGTAGATTCAAGTTTGTTCAAAATCATGACCCCCGGGGGTAGTGCGAGGTCACAATGGCTGATCAAAGTTTTACAATGGAATATATAGGAAAAATCTTTTAAACATTTTCTTCTCCAGAACCATTGGGCCATGAAAGATAAAACTCATGTGGAAGCATCCTCGGGTAGTGTAGATTCAAGTTTGTTCAAATCATGACTTCTGGGAATAGGGCGGGGCCACAATGGCTGATCAAGTCTTACAAAGGAATATAAAGGGAAAATCTTTTGAAAATCTTCTTCTCCAGAATCATTGGGCCAGGAAAGATAAAACTCATGTGGAAGCATCCACGGGTAGTGTAGATTCAAGTTTGTTCAAATCATGACTCCTGGGAATAGGGCGGGGCCACAATGGCTGATCAAGTCTTACAAAGGAATATAAAGGGAAAATCTTTTAAAAATCTTCTTCTCCAGAACCATTGGGCCAGGAAAGATAAAACTCATGTGGAAGCATCCTCGGGTAGTGTAGATTCACGTTTGTTCAAAATCATGACCCCTGGGGGTAGTGCGAGTTCACAATGGCTGATCAAAGTTTTACAATGGAATATATAGGGAAAATCTTTTGAAAATCTTCTTCTCCAGAATCATTGGGCCAGGAAAGATAAAACTCATGTGGAAGCATCCTCAGGTAGTGTAGATTCAAGTTTGTTCAAATCATGACTCCTGGGAATAGGGCGGGGCCACAATGGCTGATCAAGTCTTACAAAGGAATATAAAGGGAAAATCTTTAGAAAATCTTCTTCTCCAGAACCATTGGGCCAGGAAAGATAAAACTCATGTGGAAGCATCCTCGGGTAGTGTAGATTCAAGTTTGTTCAAATCATGAACCCCGGCGGTAGGGAGGAGCCACAATGGCTGATCAAAAATTTACATAGTAATATAAAGGGAAAATCTTTTAAAAAATCTTCTCCTCCAGAACCATTGGACCAGGAAATATGAAATTCATGTGGTAGTATCCTTAGGTAGTGTAGATTCAAATTTGTTCAAATCATGACCCCAGAGGTTAGGGAGGGGCCACAATGGCTCATTAAAGTTTTAGAAAGGAATACAAAGGGAAAATCCTTTAAAAATCTTCTTCTCTAGATTCATTGGGCCAGGAAAGATGAAACTCATGTGGAAGCATCCTTAGGTAGTGTAGATTCAAGTTTGTGCAAATCATGACCCCTGGGGGTTAGGGTGTGGCCACTTGAGGGAAGTTTTGCAAATATAATATACAGAGAATATATAGAAAAAAATCTTCTCCAGAACAGAAAAGTTTTGTTTAGTCAAATTGACATGTTAGCATAGTGAATATCTAAATTTTTCGAATAATGTCCGGGAGAGGGTGTCTTAGCCAGGGGTTGCAATGGGAGATCGAATAATATGTTGGAAAAATCTCTTTAAAATCTTCTTAGTATTCAAGTATGGTAAAATTATATATGTATGCTTTATTGATATAGTGACATTCTCAAGTAATAGAAAATTTAACCCCCCCCCCTCCCCCTACAAGTAAGCTTTTCAATACTAGGCTGTTTAGTGCTTTTTAACTAGCCTATGTGCTCATGTGAGCGATGTAGCCCATGGTCCTCTTGTTTTTATATATTGGAGCCTGAAATATTTTCACACTTTTATCTAAATAATAAAATGCCTTTCTTTGGTTGTAAATATGGGAATTAACGTCGCAGCTGTTGCAAAACAGAAAAATACATAACCCGCGTAAGACATTTGATTGCTTATTAGCTCACCTGAGCCGAACGCTCAAGTGAGCTTTTCTGATCACATTTTGTCCGTCCTCCGTCCGTCTAGCTGTCCGTCTGTCCGTCCGTCTGTTCGTCTGTAAACTTTTCACATTTTTAACTTCTTCTCAAGAACCACAGGGCCAATTTTGACCAAACTTGGTACAAAGTATCCTTAAGCAAAAGGAAATTCAAATTGTTAAAATGAAGGGCCAAGTCCCCTTACAAGGGGAGATGATCAAGAAAAGACAAAAATAGAGTGGTCATAAAAAAAACTTCTTCTCAAGAACCACTGGGCCAGAAAAGCTGAAAATTAAGTGGAAGTATTCTGGGGTAGTGTAAATTCTAAATTGATAAAATTATGATCTCTGGGGGTAGAGCGGGGCCACAATGGGGAATCAAAGTTTTACATACTAGAAGTATATATGATAAATCTTTAAAAATCTTCTACTTAAGAACCAGTGGGCCAGAAAAGCTGAAACTTACGTGGAAGCATTCTGGGGTAGTGTTGATTCTAAATTGTTCTAAATCATGACCTCCGGGGGCAGGGCGGGCCACAATGGGGAATCAAAGTTTTACATAGAAATATATAGGAAAAATCTTTAAAAATTTTCTTCTCTAGAACCACTGGGCAAAAAAAATGAAACTTATGTGGAAGCATTATGGGGTAGTGTAACTTTTAAATTGTTCAAATAATGACCCCCCAGGAATAGGGCAGGGCCACAATGGGGAATCAAAGTTTTACAATTGGGAATCAAAGCATCCTATGGTAGTGTAGATTTCAAATTGTCTAAATTATGATCAGTGGGTAGGATGGGGTGACAATATGTATTACAAGGGGGAAATATGGTAAAGAAAGGGATGGTCAAAGCTGCTCAGGTGACCGATGTGGCCCATGGGCCTTTTGTATTTTTGTATATATCTGTTTCAAAAAAAACATTCAAAGTAAAATTAGTTATGTTTAATATTGCATTATTGATGAATATGTCATTGGATGCTTAAATGATGTAACAGCCATTGCACTAGAAATCTGTGTACGTGCACGTGGCTTGCTAAGTATTGTTCATGCTCGGATTAATGGCAATGGTCTTCATAAGAAATAAAGGGAAAATATTCATAATCAGTGGATGTAAATATATCGTTATTGTACCTCTGATAGGCTAGAAATAATTTTTAATATTTCAGGAATGTTCAACTAATATACAAGAAAGATGAATTATATTTTGTGTGTGTTTGTATTTTTTATTTTTCATAACTTGTATATTCTAGGAGGAAATCGATACCAATGAAGAAGAGAAATTTGGTAATTTATTTACTTATGCTGCTTAATTATAACTTTGAGAAAAAAATTCTCATGAATATGTTTTGTTTTAATTTTTAACTTACCTGATCTGAAAACTCAAGAGAGATTTTATAATAATATTACATTTTGATCAAATTTGCCGTTAAACATCCTTTTTTCAATGTCCATAGGAAGATACTTCAGAATTCGTGAAAAATTGATATGATCTTTCAAAACATTTCAAAAAAGTTAAAACTTAATTTGTGAAACCTTTATTAGGTTATAGTTTAGAAAAAGGTTGTGCAAAGCATGACTCCGGATGGTAGGATGAGAGCACAATTGGGGGTCCAAGTTTAAAATATGAATATGTTGAAACATTTTTTATTAGGTCACCTGAGTAAACTCAGGTGACCTATTGCTATCTGTTTTCGTCCGTCGTCGTTCGTCGTGCGTCGTGCGTTAACATTTGAACATTTTCAGCTTCTTCTCTGCAACCACTGAACCAATTTCAACCAAATTTGGTACAAAGCATCTATGGGTGAAGGGGAACAAAAATTGTGAATTTTATGATCCCTGCCCCCCTGGGGCCTGAGGGGTGGGGCCAAAACCACTTAAATTAGTGCAATCTTTAAAAATCTTCTTCTTTACTCCTGGACATCAAGCAGTCAAACTGTTTGCATGATTGTAATCAGCAATGAGTCCTCTACCAAAATTGTGAAATTCATGGCCCCAGGGTCAGGGGTTCTAGTGCCAGGGCGGGGCTAAATAAGTAGGTAGTGAAAATGCATTATTTCTTTGAAAATCTTCTTCTCTGCTCCTGGGTATTAAATAAACCAACTAAGTACATAGTTATGATGAGCAAGAGTGCCTCTACCAAAATTGTGAATTTTATGGCCCCAGGGTCAGGGGTTCTGGTGTTAGGGCGGGGCTCTATTGATTATATAGTGAAAATACATTAATTCTTTGAAAATCTTGTTCTCTGCTCCTGGGTATTAAATAAACTAACTAAGTACATAGTTATGATAAGCAAGAGTGCCTCTACCAAAATTGTGGATTTTATGGCCCCAGGGTCAGGGGTTCTTGTTTTAGGGTGGGGCTCTAATGATTATATAGTGAAATGTATGAATTCTTTGAACATCTTATCCTTTGCTCTTGGTTAATATGCTAATGATCTAATTACATATCTAAGGCCAGGATTTATTTTATTTTCAGTTTTACAAACCCTCCGCTCAAGGTTTTGAACTTTTAGAAAAAAAATAAAACAATTTTTTCTTTCCGATGTCAAATTTGAGTCGGGATCGAGATTTCAAATTTACGAACTCGCACTTCCGGTTTTTAGAAGAAACGGCGGGTAAATAAAGCTAGATCCAAGAATTTAGCATGGTTTAGTGTAAAATTCACCGATAAGAGTGCCATTCAAAACGTTTCACCCGTTCAAAGGACAAATAAAATGCTGACGACTTTGTTGCACAATGACATGCTGGTGAGATAATTATGTATTCGTTTCAAAAGTAACTCAGTTACTTTTACTAAACAGTCTGTTTTATGATAGGAATTATAATTTTAGGCATCAAGTAAATTTTAGAACAATGTCTACACATTCACCTAATACATATTAAGAAAATGAAGATGTATTGAAAGACTGTTAAAGAATTGATTTTTTAAAATATATTTTGATCAACATCACAAAATTTATATAACTGGCCCAAACTGGCAGATGATGAAATAAGCAATTAAATGTTCTATTTTCCTATTTGTAAGCATTATGTGTCCAGTGGTAAGGAGCCTATTAGGATAGCATAAAAAAGAATGTACAAATGTTAATAATTGATTTATAAAAAAAAAATTATTTCCTTTTCCTTTGGGACTTTTTTATTCTCATGTTCATAACTAAACCTAAACATAAAAAAAAATGCTGGCCTTATAATGAAGAAAGGGTCCTCTTTCAAAATAGATAATTTCAGGGCTGCTGGGTCAGGGGTACCAAGGGGGTACCTTGACTAAAAATAAATTAATGCTTTGAAATCTGCCCTTTGATAAGCAATGGTGCCTCTTTCAAAATTCGTGAATTTCATGGCTTTTGGCTTAAAACACGAACCAAATACAATCGCTGGAAATTTGTTACATGATACTCAGGTGACCTATAAGGCCCGTGGGCCTCTTGTCTTATTCTAGATTAACAATGTAATAACTAATCTAATAAAAGCATTTCCAGGTAGTGTAATTTCAAATTTGTTCGAATCTTGACCCCTAAGTAAAGAAGAGCATTAATGGTGAATCAAGGTTTTACATAAGAACTATAGAGAAAGCATTTTAGACAATGTCTTCTCGAAAACAACAAGCCAATTGACTTTTTACAGTGATATAGAAGCATCTTTAGGTAGTGTTGGATTCAAATATGTTTAATTTATGACCCCCAAGTTTAGGTGTTCTCAAGAACAGCAAAATCATGCGAATTGTGACTCATATGCCTCTGGTGTCTTTTTAGATTTACAACAGATGGAGTTGAGACATCTTTTAGTTCTGTTTGCACTGTTGTTGACGAACAAAAATCAATTTTGCCTTGAAAACGATGAGTGGGTGGAGCAATTAAAGCGTGTGAATAAAGACTTCAAACTACCTGCAAAGACGGAATACATACTTGGACAAAGACTACTGAGTAAAAAGTTGAACAAATATATCGTTCAGAAAGACAAAAACATAGTCTTTAAATCTACACATATTTTAGGCATAATAATGCAATATTTTTCGGAAAAAGAAAATTATGTGGAATATTTTGTTCAGAATGCAACCTATGAAGGCTTACGTCATTGCTGTATGACGTCTTCCCATAGTGTCATAAGACCTGCAATCATACTTAATGAACATCATCTAGTTATACTTATAAAAAGATTAAAATACAGAATTCTTTTTCATCCCGTGATGAAAGATAACTCAATTCACAAGATAGTGAGTAAATCACGTAAGTATAAAGTTTACATGTATATAGATTATGTAAAGCAACGCTTCAATAATTATAATTATTAATAGACAGTTGTTAATCAAGATTTATTAGTGAGCGAGAAATATCGTCGAATTTTTTGACTTTCTTGATTTCGCATAATTATATAATAACTGCGAACCATTCGTATTGCTTGTATTTGTTGAGAATCTTTTTTCAGTTTTCAAAATTAATCGTCGACTTTGATTTTAAGCTAATTAACGAATAGCGAATAAAATGGACGCGAATAAAACTATACCATGTTCTGAACAATTTCTGAAATCATTTCTTTCTTTATACATTAATGTAGTCAAAATACCAAAAGTTATTTTGAGCTGGGATGAGAAGGGGAGAAAGGCGTTTGTAAAAAGCCTACAAGAAGACAAAGAAGATATCTTCCATGCCAGATGGATGATTCTTGGGTGTGCTGGTGTAGGAAAAACAACGCTTGTGAAGAAAATAAGAGATCTCAGCATGGAAGAGATTTTAAATACTTTACCAACAGAAGGAGTAGAGATGCATAATAGGATTTTTGAGGTTACCGGAAATAGTCTTCAAGGTTAGTTATTTAAAGGAATACAAAGCCTCACAAAGATAATTTATGGACACAGTTATGAAGTATTTTTAGTTATATATTTTAATTTTTTATGACAGATGTGACGAATAAGAATATATCTCCATTTGGGATAACATTGAAGAAGTCGTTTGGAAAACCCATAAAAGTACCCCAAGATGTGCCTCAGAATACCCAATACACAATATCGAAACTTACACCTAAGGTTAATACAACAATGCTGTACACAAGAGACGCACAACAAATACCCAAAACGATGTCCTCGGGCAAAGATAATGCAAAATTGAAAGATTATCTACCGAATTCAGAAGAAGCTACAGAGTCACATTCTTCTTCCCAAGAGAAAAAATACATTAGTTCTTCAAATCCTTCTGATGTATATGGCGATGCCTTCATTAAACTCATTCCATTTCTATGGAATAAAGTAAAGAGCGCAAAGTGTACCATTGACATTGTGGATTTTGCTGGTCAAAGCGATTACTATGCATCACACCAAGTCTTCTTGCGACAAGATGCTGGTTATATACTGGTACTTAACATGGCTGAGAAGTTGGATGATATTCCTTCCACGACAATATCACATAATATGATTTATGAGAACTGGACAAACAGAGGTAAGTGAAACACTATTATCATAATTATCATTACATTTTAACGTAAACTTTAATATTAAAATTACATGTTACAAAAATAACATATTACATGTTTAATTGTTGCCCTTTGACATGCATACTTATATTTTTGATTGATTATTATAAGCATATTATCTTCTAACTTTTAAATATATGTGTTTTTAATGGTAGATTTTGTACAAAACTGGCTAAGATCGATTCACACATTTGCTCCCTTGGCTCCTGTGATATTGGTTGCCACACATGCAGAAGGAAAGTCCTCAAGGGTAATTGTTTATTTTTCTTACTTTTAAAGTAATTCATGGAATCATCAGTCGGATAAATGATTGTTTTTCTCTGCAGGAAATCCAACAATTTTTTGTGGATGTATGGAACGTCCCGAACGTTGAGAAGTTAAAAATCCATCTGGACGAAGACCGAAAATTTTGGGTTACTCTGAGAGAAGACGACAATATTACAGAACTAAAAGACTGTATAGCAAATCAGTCGAAGACTCTTGCAACCTGGGGGAAAGAAATTCCACGAAAATGGGTGCTTTGTGAGAATTTTCTAAAAGAAACAAAGAAAACACGAAAAATAATCACGCTTCATTGTCTATTGGGTTTGATAAAAAGAAAACAGGGATACTTGAAAATGAGCAAAAACGAATTGACGTGGATGCTGAAATTTTTTCACGATATTGGGGAGATCATATATTTTGATGAAAAGGATTTAGAAAAGATTGTGATACTTGACGTTGACTTTTTGCTTGATATATTTAAATGTATCATCCGAACAGACTTGAATGTCCGTGGTAAAATAGCACGTCAATTTGGAAATAGATGGACTGCTTATGAACAGAGAGGATTGTTGGGAGAAAAAATGTGCATGGAAATGCTCAAAGAGTTACTCGATTTAAGGGCTAAAGATCAAATTGCTTTTTTCCAATATTTGACACATATTGGAATAATGATTGACATCACAGAACCTAATGTGAGAGAGAAGTTGTGGTACATACCGTCAATGAACAAATCTTTGTTTCCTTTTGATGCGTATGAATCATACATGAGAACACCCGTGCACTGCTTTGTCGCAGACTTTTTACCAGACATTATATATCATCGTCTTATCTCAAAAGCCATCACCAGTCATTCCATTGGAGAAGTACTCTTGGATGGTAATGAAAAATGCATGTATCAAAGTGTTTGTGCTTTCCTACATGATGAGACGTATATAGTTTTGATTGGAAGATGTGAAACGTCACTCCAAGTACAAATCCTAGCGACGGTTGAGTTAGACAAAAGTGTGTGTAGTGCCTTACTAGGCAAAGTTTCAAATATCATAAATGATGTTGCAAGTACCTTTCATCTCAACATTGAATTTTCTGAGGGTCTATTATGTGATCAGTCCCAAATAACTGATCAATTTCGTACATCTGGTATGTTAATGTGTGACATACAACAAGCCTGTGAGAGAAAATCTACATTTCTTTGCAAAACGTGTCCAATTTCTCGAAGGCATTTGATAAATTCAAAGGAGTGGCTATCATTCACAATGGATGTAAGTTGTTTTCTTTTATTTAATAAATCAATATATAAAATGTTTTATTCAATCTGAAAAAGATATCTAAAAAATTCTGATTTTGAATAACTAATTCAAGAGCAGAAGTATTTGCGTATCCCTTTCTATCTTCAGTTGGCATAGCTCTGTCTTGGAAAAGCATGATAGGATATGTTTTATTTATAACTACGTACTTTATCTATGAGTATGTAAGTACATGTATAAGGAACAGGAAGATAATAGCCAATTAAAAAGATTATGAGATTATCTCGACTTACGAATTTATTACGACGTATTTGTGATTTGTTAAATGATATGTTGTTTTATGATAGACTGATGAACCTGAGGAGGAAGATGAAGAGAAGGAGGATTTAGTCGAGGAAAAAAGAGGTATTTTAACTGTGTAATTATATTCGACAATTAAATAGAAGTCTGTTCGTGACTTAATTGCTGATTTCCTAGCAATGACATTGAAATTTACACTTGTCTTCATTGTTTTGCTTGTAAACTCACTTCGTTTTTCTTTCCAGACATGTATCTTCTTTTTGACTTTGTTGCAACGAAGATCGGGTCAATATTTGAAGCCAGGAGTCTTTGTTTCGAGTTACTTGGTGACGAGTTTGTCTTGGAGAATGATAAAAAGCACAATCCACGAAGAGTTCTATTTGATGCCTTAGTGACATGGATCGAAAGAAATCCTACCAGTGAACATTTGGAAATTCTTACTCGGGCACTCCAAAAAATCAGTAGATGTGATATTGTACAGAACATTCACTGCATTGAGCATAGGGACTACACGGAACATTATGTGCCTCATCCAGATTTGGACATAAAGCAGTCGGACATTAAAGCAGTTGTAAAAGACGCAGCCGTTAACTATCTCGAGATTGGACTATTTCTCGGATTATCACCACAGAAACTAAAACAAATTGAATTGGACTATCCTTCTGATGTACGTGGAAAAATGCATCAGGTCTTATCACAATTGCCTGTAAGTCGTCAGATGATTATTAACAGTTTGAAGTATGTTGAAAGAATAGACCTGATTGCTAAACTTACGGCTCGGTGGAACTGAAGTTTATCAAATATCAAGCTAAACGAGACATATTGTGTTCATTTATGTTGAATTTCATTTCCTTTTGTTTGTATGCTACTTATAGTCTGTAAATTTTGTTAAACGTATATGGTGTACACTTTGTTTTAATTAAATGGTAATTAAAGCTTTCTTTTATATCAAGCCTCATACCTGTTTAAATGATACACAACGAGCGCGTTTCTATATCTGAACTAAGAAGCAGCGGAAATACTACCCCGTGGAAAAAAGTACGTTTACAGTTCAGTAATTCAAATAGTGAGAAGATACATTGTACATCGATTTCTTAATTATTACAAGTCTGGGGAGTGTAATATATATCACACTTTTGATGATGTACATTATTGCATTTTTTTGCATTTGGACGAAATTACACTAGCCTTATTTATATGAAACATATGGTTGCTAAACCTGCATATTTTAACACAGGTGATTTTTTTTGTCCTTTTATTTTTCAATAAGAATCTTCTTTTTCAATAAGAAATGATGATATATAAAGTTTAAATACCCGGTATGTATCATATGAATGACAAAAAATGCTTTGCTTTATAAACAGTGTTTTTAAACATGGAGCTATAGAATTTATTTGAATATTTTTCATTTTTATGCCACCGTAAATGAAGTTTCGATGGTATTTAGTTTTTGCCCTGTCCGTACGTCTGTCCAGCTGTCTGTCCGCAAAAAAACTGTCCGCATCGTCATTTGACTTTGTGACATTGACCTTGAAGTTGACCTGTTCTAACAAAATGATACCTGCACACTTTAACCTTGTCCATAACTTTTGAACAGTTGTACTTACATGTAAGTCTTCACATGTGTACTCATTGTGACAAGACCATTTAGTGAGTACCTGTATAAATATTTTGACCCTGACCTTAGAGTTTGACCTACTTCTGAAAACCTTTAACTTTGACCGAAATTTTGAACAATTAGAACAAGGCCTTTCGTATATATTTCAGGTGTATTCCTTGTAACAAGGCCTTCCTTTGGGTATCGACACTTTTGATCTTGACATATGGAGTCTGACATGCATTTGAATACAGTTCATCCTCGCCATAAGCAGCCATACGGATGCATCAGTCTTTCACAAGCACATGTTTTGTTTTGTTTTTACATTATGTCTCCATAATTTTTGTACTGTCCGTATGTTTGTCTGTTTATCTGTTGGTCCTCGAAACTTTAACCTTTTCCATATAACTTCTAAGTGGGTTGGGCTATGGCTTTATTCCTCGTGAGAAGACCTGTATTTTTGGTACCACCAAATTTGACTTCATGACCTTGAATTTGACTAACTTTTACCAACAATTTCTTAACTTAACCATAGTCATAACTTTTGATTAGTTGGCGTTAGACCTTTAATTCATCCTTTAATTGTGTAATCACTGAGACAAGGCCTTTCATTTGATATTAAATAAATGACCTTCTGACCTTGACCTTACAGTTTGACCCTGTCTTGAACAAATTTCAATCTTCACCATAACTCTTGAACCGTAAATAGTACTACGGCTTTCATATTTCATAGTTTGAAGCATTTAATAAAATTAACCATGACCATAACTTTTTATTCAAAAGTACTAGGTCTATCTATTTCCAAGTTGCATATTTTACATGTACATTAGTGTCAAAAACATGATATATGACCTTGATGTTTGACCTTTTAACAATTTTCAACATTGACAACATTGTTGCCTGAAAAGACGCGTCTTCCATATTTTACATATATTAACAAAATATAACAACACCTATCCGAATGAACTATCATGATTTTTTTACCCCATGACCTTAAGTTGAATATAAGCGGATATTATGTTCGTGAGGAAAAGTGACTTGTAGTCCGAGTTAAAGGCACGGGATAAAACCTGGCATGATGCAGCAAAAGGAGTGAGAATCGAGTTCGTTGGAGGAATGTCGCTGATGACCTACATGTACGTTCCTCGCAGTATCGCAGGCCTTCAGTAAGTTATGTTCGTCTACGTACATGCATCTAGTCAGAAAAAGCTGAAGTTTTCCAGGGTTTATTTACGATTTTGGAAATTTCGCCCTCTCGAACCGGAATTTAATTTAAATACTTGCGAACCGAACTAAATGCCAAAATCAGAATTTATTTATCATGTCGATAGCACAATGCTTCGATCTTACTACTCACTAAGATTGTTTGAAGAAAACATCACTCCATTTCGTTACAGGACTTGCAATTTCGACAATAAAAAATGATAAAAAGCTATCAGCAGATTTTAAGTACTTAAAGTATTGTACTATCGATAACTTGTGCCTTTGGAATTGAATTCGGTTCGCAAGTATCTAAAATAAACTCGAGAATGCCACCTCCGGTTGGAGGCAGCGATTTCCCGGTTTTCGTAAACGCGGTTCTGGCTTTTTCCAGGCACCTAAATTATCGTGTAAAAAAGCCTAGAAAACGTCAGATATTTTGGATTAGTCGATGTATAGGTTGCAAAACGCCTATATAAATTTTAGGCAATTGAGAATTACATATGTGGTTAAAGGGAAAGACACTATACAACTGTTTGTTATAATAAGTGACAGCAACATCCAACAGAAGAGCAAGATAATGTCGTTTTTTTAAAGTCACTGCAAGGCCTCATACTTAGGGGTCAATCCTGCTGATTTTATTATTTCAGTATATATATATGCATGCAAATTAATAGAAATATATAAACCTATACATTATATTATACAGAAGTATGGAGTACTGGACCGAAAAAATAAACAAACTTTACATACAAACCATACCTTTGTAATATTTCTTTCAATTACCTTGCAATTACCTTGTACAAAATGTGCATTTTTTTTTAAGTTGGAAATTGTATCACAATACAGACAATATTTATTAGTTTAAAAGGCTGAAAGCGTTTGCCCTTGTCTCTTTTTTAGATTTATGAAATAATTAAA